ACATATCGCAGGTGCGAAAAAAAATATATTCCTTTTTTTATTTCTATTTTGTTTATTATAATGCAAAATTTTTATAATAAAAATAAAAAGTTATAATAAATATTCAAATAGAGAAAAAATATAGTAAGAAAAGTTTGGATTTTATTATATAAAAATTCTGATACTATTTTTGTGGGTTAATTTCTCATCCAATTTTAATAATCAACTGCATATCTAACTCATACAATTTATGGCCAGAATGTAAATCAATTTGGCTGCAAAATTATGTGACAATCTGGCCAAAATTAAAGAATTTTTTATAGTGTCATTTATTTTAATTTAGAATTGTGAACAAATTTGCTCGCAAAACGGTTTAAGGAATAGTAATATAGTAATATTATTAAAATTTAAAAGAACTATAATAATAATTAATAATTAAATATATTATTACAATTTTTTTTTAAAATTAAATATATTTTAAACTTGGGTTTTATTTTTTATTACATTTGCATTATGTCGTACCCCTATAATATGTTACATATAAAAGTCAAAAATGTTATTCTAAATTCTTTTTAATATATTAAGAAAACTTGTAGAATGGTTAAAAATACACATAGTATAAAGTTTTTTATAGTATATAGTAAGTGCATAAGATCTTATACCAGGATTTTTTAAAAAATGAAAAATCTTAATGAAATTATATGATTAAAATGATTAGTATAATTAATATATAAAAATTATCAAAAAAGGAAGATATGATATATCACAAGCATAAAAAAAACATATTTCTTTAAACTTATATATATAAGGTATTTTTTTAATATAAATTTTGAGTTTTTTTAAAGATTATTTTAAATATATATACAGTTCTTAGTGAAAGTAATAGTGGTGAGAATACTGCTTCTTAATTTAGCTATAACGCTATTACTATTCTGATTAGATTATTATTTATTATACTAAATTAAATAGTGAAATGATCATTTAAAAAGCAACTAAAAAAAAGTAATTTCAAATACTAATATTATTTTTATTTTGTTGCCCAAAATGGCTTCCATTATAATTAAATTTATTTATAAAGATGCTAACTTTTTTTAAAATAAAATTTTAGGTAATTTTTAATTGAACTGAAAATTTTTTGCATTTTCATAAGCAATGCACCCTCCTCTTTAAAAATATGGTAAAATTCTAAATATTTGTTATTCTAAATATCATATCAGAGTTATTTCTTAAAAAAATACTACCAAAATTAAAGTGACGATCATTTTATATATTTTAATTTTCATTGAAAAAATTTTGAAATATATGTATTTTTAATTAATCAAATAATTTTCTAGATTATTGATGAGTTTTTTATTATAATAAATATATAAAATAACAACTCCCATAATGCTTAATATAGTATGAATATTTATTTTTCAATAATAAGTTTTTTTTGGCCATTCAAAGTCTAGATTTCAAATCCTAATGAGAAATTTGGATTTTTTTTGAAGCAATATATTAAGAAAATAATAACACAAAAAAAAGAAAAAAAATTTCAGGTTATTTCTCAATTTATTTGGAAGTAATGAAATAATCTTAAAAATAGCATGGTTTTTAATAGCAAAGTTATTGTAATAATAATAGTATATAAAGTCAAGTTGAAGTATACATTAATGCAAATGGAGGCCAAATCAAATATTAATAAAATATATGCATTTTTGACTTCTCTTTCCAAAAATAAAAAAAAATCATAGCTTTATTATAAAATTTATAAGTTAAATTAAAAAACTAACTACCATTACTTATGCTGGAGTCTGTATATAAAATTAATAAAACAAATTTTAGTAAAAATTTCAAATAATTTAATTAAAAATCAAAAGGTTTACTTATATCAATAATCCTATATATAACTAACTAATAAAAATAAAATTCTAATTGTGTAATTCTAAAATATTGTAAACTTAAAAGTTTAAAATCAATTTTGAAAATTTTAAAAAAATCTTTAAAATTTAAAGTAATTTTATAAATTAATTTAAATTAAATTTGATTTGAATTAATTTGATAAAATTTTAAATTTTAGCAATACAAGATTTAATATAATTTATAAATTTTAGTAATTTAATAATAGTAAAATTTTATTATTATTATTATTTTTGTATTTTTTTTTATTAATAGATTTTAATACCATTTAATAAACTGTTGATTTAATTTTCTTTAATTAAATTATATTAATTATCTGGATTTTTACTTTTCTGCTTAATTAAATATTCATAAAATTTTTGTATCTATATTATCTTAAATAGTATATTATTATTATATTATAATTTTAATAATTATATATTATATAATATTATTATTAAAAAAATCATTACTTTTAAATTTATTTTAAACATGAATTCTATTAGCCAAACTGTAAATGATAATAAAAAATAACAAAAAAAAGGGATTAATAATAAATAAAACTTGGTCTATATGATAATTATTGTGATTGATTTAGCAGTCAAGAAATTACATCTATTATATACTACTGCTGTACATGTATCTGATATCCTCCCCCCCCCTTTTATTTGCATATTAATTATATCTCTAATCATATAAACCTTTTCACCCATCTAATTTAATTATAAAATAATGTTTATTAGCACATTCAAAGTCTGTTTCTTAAATATAATGAAAAAGTTACTATAAAGCACACAATAGGTGACTACAATACATTAAATTAATTAATTATTCTACTTGTTTTGAATTAGAATTATTACTATTACCATTATTATGTTGATTGTCTTTACTTGCTTCTTTAAGTAAAAACGATATCCACATATCAGAAAATGACTAATAAAAGTATTAAAAAAAGATAATAAAAATAAGTGAATTAATAAATTAATTTTAATTAAATAAATCACTTTAAGTCATTTACCTCTCTAGTAGCTTCATCTTCAGATATACGAATAGTTGGTCTAGGGACATCTTCTGATAGTCGACCTCGTGGTCTCTCAATAGTGGGTGTCCATAAACCTGATACCCATTTATTTGATCGATCTTCAGATCTGCTAGATAATGCTTTTCTTATTAAACCTACTTGTTCCTTCTGTTCCTCCGTCCATTCTAACATATTTGCCATCAATTGTAATATCTCAAATCGTTTGCTATCTCCACGTGGAGTGTTGAAGAAAGCGATCAAAAGGTTGGTAATAAGGCGTCTAAGAAATAACATTAAAATTGTTATTACAGGAAAGAAATTAATAAAATCACTTATATATTTTAAGCAAACTAACTTGTCCACATTATTCTCACTGCTTTCCTCTCTCATACGACGTAAAGCTTCAGTAAGATGCCCATTCAATATTACAGCTATAAAAAAGGGTAAAAGATGAGCATAAATAATAAAAAAATTTAAAATTCCAAACATTAATAAATATATATACCTTCATGTCGTAACTTTCCAATTAGTAAATTCTTTTCTTTTATTTCTTTTTCGTATTGCAACGTTTTTCCGATTTCATCTTTTATTTGCGCTAATTGAGTCTAAATAAGTAAAACAAACTTGTTAAAAGAGGATTTAATTATTAATAAATACATAATATTCTAAAAGTAAGAATTACTTCAGCCAATAATGCACGCTCTTTATACTCTGCTAGCTCTTTGGTAGCAGTGGTAAGTCGCATTTGTATTCCTTCGACGGCTTCCCGAATCTCTGATTGCTTAGCTTATATAAAAACAAGAAAGTCAGATTCATGAAAAATTTTTTGACAAATTAAATATAAAATCCTTATTACCTGCTTCAAACTCTTCTAAAACATTTTGTAGATTGGCCAAACTTTCTGACTCATTATTTTTTTCAACAATTAAAACTTCTTTCTCGTGTTTTAAGGCATCCATTTCCCTTTCTAAATGTTTTATGTGAGAAAGTAATTCATCTTTTGCACTTTTTAATTCCATTGCGTTAACTTCCCATTCTTCTCGTTCTCTTCCTGTACGGTCTAAATTATATTGTAAGTCACGAATTATATCATCTTTTTCATCAATTTCACGTGAAGATTGCTGTTGTATATCAAAAAGCTGTGATTGTAAAGACTCTAATTGATGATTTACTTTATCGTTCTCATCTTGACTGGTAGAAAGGTTAGCTTGTAATTGTAAAATAGTGTTATTAAGTTCTTTATTTTGTTCATTCAATTCATTATATTGCTGTCTAATTCTATTATGTTCTTCCTGAATAAAAAATAAATAAATAAAAAGAATTAATTAATAAAAAATTAATTATTATGCACAAAATAAGTAAATAAATAAATCAATACATTGTCCGCTTTCAATTTATCAGCTATGGAAGTCTTAAAATTAGCCAATTTAGCAATTAAACTTTGATGTTGTACTTCTAATTGTTTCTTTTCTTCCTTACTTTGTTCAAGTTGTGATTCAATATTTGTAATCTCCTCTTTTTTTTCTTTTTCGATTTGTTCAATTTTTGTCGTTAATTCTTCTATCAATTTTTTATGATCATCGTCATTTTTCGACAAAGTAGAATCAGTAGAATCCTCATTATTATTATTGTCCTTTTGGTTGATACTATTACTATCTTCTACTATTTCATTATTATTATTATTTATTATATTATTATTGTTCTTGTTCTTTTCATTTTCTAATTGTTCAAATAAAGTTGTACGTTCAGTTGATAACTCTTTATTTTCTTTTTTCAATTTTTCAAGTTCTGCACGAAGATAGCTTAAAGCAGATAATAATGATTGTTGACTAACTACTACTGGTGTTTCAGGTGTTTCAGCTTTTGAGGTTACAACATTGTTATTAGGAATGGTTATTTGTGCCATTTTTTCTATAAGAATAGATAAAAAGTAATTGAAATTTTTTTTTTATATAAAAGATAATGAAGACAAATTATAATAAAATACGTATATTTATTTAAACCATTTTTTTGATTGGATGTTTGAATGCTCATGCCAAATCGTATGTACAGTACAGTATATATTACCCATTGGTTGATTGAATGCCTATCATATGTATCATATGTATATGTTACCCACTATGTTACCCAAGACCCAAAGACCCAGGTCCAGGCTCCAGGGGTACGTCAATGATAATTGATGTAGATTTGATAAGACGAAAAATTTTTTTGATAAATTTTTAAATTTTTTTTCTTTTTTTTTTAAAAAAAAAAAATCCATAAAAAAAAAAAGAATGTATGCTCAAACTCTGATAGGAAGTATAAGTCGTAATAATTCATATAAAAATGCTTTTGCTTTTACCAATGTGGTTTTTAGATCTTTTCTACGAAACAAACCATCAACGTTCGCTTTGAAAACAGAGTTACAACATTGTTAGTTTTATATTTAAATTCGAATGTTCATAAGTTCATAAGTTTATATTTTTGGTTTTGATTAATACCTATTCTTATATAATTCGGCTGATAGCTTCGGTAATTCGTGGATATTCCACCTTAAACGTGTTGAAAAACAAACGGTTCTCTTTTGATACACGTTTAACAACTGGTCTAAATACTTCTCCACAAACTTCCTTACATAACACGAATATTCGTACATATGCTAAATTAGCACGGACAAGAAAAATTGAAGATACTGAAACAGAAAGAAAAGAATTTAATATAAATGATCCTTCTATTGTATCTAAAGATGAATATGTTCCATCAAGATTCGATGAAATTACTTCAATTTCACCAAAAACACAACAAGCTTTACTTAAAGTTTTTAAATATCATGAAATGTCAAAAGTTCAAGATGCTGTATTATCACAATTACCAATTGAAGGAGATCTATTTGTAAAAGCAAAAACTGGTACTGGCAAAACCTTGGCATTTTTAATTCCTGCTATAGAAACTTTAATCCGTAATTCTCAAAATGGTAATAGAGGAGAAATGGTTTCAATTATGATTATTTCCCCAACTCGTGAATTAGCTCAACAAATTGCAAATGAAGCATATCAACTTTTGACTTTTTATAATTATAAAGTTCAATGTTTAGTTGGTGGTGAAAGTAGGAGACTTCAAGTTAGAAAATTATCACATCAAAGAGTAGATCTTGTAGTAGGTACACCAGGTAGATTATACGATCTATTATCAACCGAATCAAATTTTAAAAAACAATGTAATGGTATAAAAACGGTTAGTGATAATATTTAAATTTTCATAAATTTTTTTTCTCTTTTTGAATGAATAATTCTAAAAAAAAAAAACTTGAATAGTTAATTCTTGATGAAGCGGATCAGCTGTTAGATATGGGTTTCCGAGATGATATCGAAGAAATTGTGCATTTTTTCCCAAAGGAAAGACAAACCTTCCTATTTTCTGCAACAGTCTCTAATCAAATCCGACAAATAGCTAATCTTTCTCTCAAGCCTGATTACAAATTTATTGATACTGTTGATCCAAATGATGTTAACACAAATACTCAAGTTAAACAATCATACGTTATAACTCCTTATGAAGCACATCTTACTACTATCCGAAATATCATGAAAGAACATAAAAAATCGCACAAGAAAGGGAAAATAATAATGTTCCTACCAACAAGATTGGGAACTATGCTTTATGCTGACTTTCTGAAAAATTTGGGTGATATGGAGATTTTTGAACTCCATTCTGGTTTGTCACAAATGCAGCGTTCCAGAGTGTCAGATAGATTCCGTAGATCAAGACAAAATGCAGTTCTTGTTACGTCTGATGTATCAGCACGAGGTGTGGATTATCCAGGAGTTACGATGGTACTTCAAATTGGTGCACCTTCTACTCGGGAACAATATATTCATCGTTTGGGACGAACAGGCCGTGCAGGCAAAGAAGGGGAAGGAATGCTTGTATTGGCACCCTTTGAGAAAGGATTTACAAAACTTATCAATGATCTGCCAATAAAAGAAGTGGATGGTCAGTCTTATAATGTTAAAGAAGATGATAACATGATCGAAAGAGCTTTAGAAGAGCTTGACATTGACCAAATAAAAGAAGCATCCATGGCTTTTCTAGGATATTGTGAGTATTTAATATTACATAATTGTTTAATTGAGAATTAAAATTTAATAGTCGTTAAATTAAATCATAAATTCGTTATCATTCTTAGATGCAGGAAAATCCAGTGCAAATTATTTCAAAAAAATTGATTTGGTGTCAGCTGTTAGTGAATTTTCAAAAGCTTTTGGATCTGAAATGCCAGTTAGTCCATATGTTTTGGATAGGTTTGGGTTGAAAGAAAAAACTCGATCACGAGGAGGTGGTGATAGATTTGGTAGGGGTCGATTTGGTGGTAGATCTAATGACTTAAATAAAAGATTTGATAGAGATGGAAGAGGAAAACGTGAATCCCGTGGTCGGTATAAGTATTAAAACTAATAACGGTATAAGTGTTAATAAGAACATTTTTATTTTCCAGTAAATTAACAACACCTATCATGAAGCACTTTATATATATAATTAAAAGTTTAATTGCTGATATTTATTCACGTGTAAATTTTCTTCGGTTTTTTATTTATAAAAAATAATCTCAAAAAAAAAAGAATCGGTATTATTGTGACTACTTTTTCCAATAAGATTTTCTTCAAGAATATAGTGAATATAGTGAATAGTAAATATAGTAAATAGTAAATATAGTGAATATAGCGAATATAATGAATATAGTGAAAATAGCGAATATAGCGAATATATTGAATATAGTGAATATAATGAATTTAGTGTAATTTAGAAGCCTGAAAATCATAGAAACATGACATTTGTAAAATGGTCATGTATATTAATAAGAGAAAAAAATTGTTATAAAAAATCAACATAATATAAAAAATACTTTTAAAATAATTTTACTATATCAGATATACTATAAAAGTAATCTTTAATTAAGTCCGTACCTTTTAACTAATAAAAAAAATTCCTCTATTGATTATTTTCAAAAAATATATTTCCTCACACAGACCGTTGTGGATGAACTTGATAAACGAAAAACCATATAGCGACTACCTTTTTGGCGTCAGTACCCATTATACCGGCTATAATGCGATTAAAAAAATTTTAATTCTGGTAGGCTAATTCTGGCCAATTTTGGCATGTTCCATATAAAATGCTCGGGGGTATTTTTGGTCAGTGCTATACGGTTATAACTTACGGGTATAACTTACGGTTATAACTTACGGTTATAACTTACGGTCATAACTAGAAGACAAGTTTCGCTAAGCAAGTACACAGTGCTTGAAAAAGTAACCAATGGAATACTTACCTTTGATGGATGATTGGTTTTGGTCAAAATATGTATTGATATGCAGGAAATTTTATTTATATTTTCTTTATGCGTAATAATTATAGTAATGACGGTTAGTTTATTTAGGTTTAATAGGAATTGGCGGATCGATGTTAGATAGAATGGATGGGGATAGATGGGTTCTTGAATGAACTGATGTCAATAATAATTTATGTTCATTTCTTGCGAGATTTACGTGTTAGAAGCATAATGGACTTTCATTCCTTTCAATTCCAATACTGCTTCCCTCTACCTGTAGGGTGATATTACTAGGATAGCTGTTCTATGTGCCAATTTTCTATACTACAACTGTATTTCCATTCAGTATCCTTGCACTTGTGTTTCTCGATACTTTATGTTATGAACTTGAAAAGTCAAAGTTCCAAAAGGATTCTTTGTATATAATTGATACAAATATATAGGTGAGCAATAAGTATCATCATATGTTTTGAGAAGCATTATGCCATGTACGTTCTCCTTTTAGAATTCGTGCTGGTACTCTAGAGAGATTGTAGTACTTGTAGTAATTCTCTAAGGGTGTCATATTGCAACAAATTAAAGGAAGGATTTTGGCTTTCAAATCAAAATGACGATCCAATGTTGGAAATTTCACGAGAGCTAGTTTATTTCATTGATATGAGTATCCAATTGCCCGTGTGGAGCATATAGATAAACCATGTGGACAAAAGTCCCACAACTATATTGTGTACCGCAGCTTGCAAGCATTTTTACATGGTAATATGCGAAGGGGAAGCAACTTTGTATCTAAACCTTTCGAGCGTAGCGGGGTTGAAATATTTACGGTATTAAAAGATACTAAACGAAATAATGAAATAGAAAGTAAAATAAAAAAGTATATTCTTGACAAAAACAGCTGTGAACACATTAAAACGGCACAGCATTTATTATTTACAATAGAACGAGAAATTGATATAATCGGGAAAATGATAATCGAGAAAATAATAATCGAGAACAAAAATACTATATACAATTTTTAAAGAAAATATCATAAGAAAAATTATTTTCTCGGTTTCTTTCTAGTAGAACCTCGAGAAGAACTACCACTAAAAAAAGATTTAAAAATATTTAAGTAAAATATTTATTTCTGAAAAAAAAAAGATGATTATACTTACGTGTCTTTTTGTTCAGGAGTAACTAAAATATCATCTAATGTGGAAGATGATTTTCGAGATAGCCTTCTAATTTGTTTTTATATTAATTTTTATAAAATGCAATTAAAAAAAAAAAAAATTAAAATAATATTTTGTACCTTCGAGACTTAATTACTTGACCACGAAAAGTTTTAGTGAGAATAGATTCAGGTTCTTCTTCTTGTTTTTGTTCTTGTTCTTCTGGTTCTTTTGATTCTTCTTGGTGTTCTTGATGTTCTTTTTGTTCAGTCGACTCATCTTCATCAGATTCAACTATTTTACCTAATTTAACCTTCTTGGAAGGAATAGAAGCTCGTTTAGACTTTGGCGATTGAGATTTTTTGCGAGGTGATACTCTCCTATTAGGTGTAACAGGTTCATTATCTTGATCATCTGAAACATTTGGCGATTGCGATTCCAATGGTTCATTTGAAGGCTCGGTGGTATCTTTTTTTTTAAAAAAAGAACGCGTTTTTTTTTCATGTTAGAGTAAAAAGTTTTAAAAAATATATATATATATATTTTCATATAGTAATTTTTTACCAGTTGTACTTAATAAATTTATTAATTTTTTCGTTTTCCTTTTCTTTTTGTTTAAGACTGTTTTGAACTAAAAATACACATAATACAAAAAAATTATATATTATATAAATACAAACATTATATCAAAAACAACAAAACAAAAAAAAAGGGTTAGGGTTATAAGGGTTAGGGTTATAAAGTTAGGTTATAAGGGTTAGGGTTATAAGAGTTAGGGTTATAAGGTTTAGGGTTATAAGGTTGGGTTATAAGGGTTGGTCTACGTTATAATATAATATATAATATTATGATCTCTAACTACCTTTCCAGTCAAAGATTTTTGATCATTATCTTTATCAACTGAGATTGACTCGATTTTTTCTTTCATTTGATTATTGATTTCTGATAAATCTTCGATACGCGTTTCAAAATTATCTCTCTTTATCTTTTTTTTTTTTTAAAGACAAAAAATATGAATTACAAAGAAAAAAAAAACTATATTAAAAAAAAAAATAATAATTACAAATAAACAAATATATGCTATATATATATATATGTATATATTTTTATTTACCATAAATAGATCTCTTTCTTCAATAAAGAAATTCATCCATTCTTGCCACATCTTTACAGTATCATGTTTTGAAACAGGATATAAAGATATGGTTCCGAGAGTAAATTTTAATGCCTGAAAATAATAATATATATTTACAAAAAACAAAAAAAAAAAAATAGTATTGAAGACATATATAAAGAATAAATAATGTTAATACATAAATAGTAAGTTAATACATATAATAAATTAATACATATAGAAATAAATAATAAGTTAATAAATATAAAAGATGAATGTAATAAATTAATACATATAAAAAAAAAATAAACAATTAATTAATTATATATATATAAAATAATTATATAATTAAAGGTAATCAAAATACAAACCATGGTACTAGTTTCAGGTTCATTCATTTTCCAATTCCAGGAAAGCTTTTTTAAAAAAGATAAAAGATAAAAAAATATATATGTGTTGCAATGTGTAATGTGTGTATAGTATATGATGTAATGTCATAATATATAACACATAACATATAACATATTTTTTTAAAAAAAAAAAAGCAAGCCGAATATATATATATATTTCAGAGAGAATCGATTACATAATCAATCTATTTATTTATTTTTTTCCTTTGTGTTCTTTTTTTTTTTACCTCAGCATCATCATCATCTTCAATGGTAATCACACATGATAATTCTCGATTTTCGTAAGATTCAAGTCCAGATAATGCCGCATAAGTTGCTTCACAAAATTCTTTTTCGACGCGTATATTATTAGGTTTGGTGGATCTTAAATCGCCCAATGTAACTTTAACAAAATAAATAGAAAAAAAAACAAATCAAAAAAAAAAAAAATCAAAATTTATAATAAATAATTAATAATTACTATCATTAATTAATAATATATTTATATATAATTTATAAATTAGTTTATTACCATCTCGCGTCCAAAATGAATAACAATTAGTTACAGTTAATTCACAAACGATTTTTCCTTTTAATCCTGATAAATTTTTCAATGAATCAATTTTCCAAACTGATTTAACATAAAATAATTTTTCTGAATCATTTTCTTGGTATGTTATCTTAAAAAATTTCACACTACTGCTTGTTGACATTATTGATTTTTTTTTTTTTCTTAGGTTGAAAAGTAAAAAATGAAATGAAATGATAGCCAAGTAGATAGGCAGATAGAAAAAAAAAGGAAGTGGGAAAGAAAGGAGAAAGAAAAAAAAAAAAAAAGAAAAAGAGAATTTCTTAAAAAAAAAGGGAACGATTTCGTCAATTCATTACGACATATATATCCATTTCCGGAATTTTAACCTGATCCAATTTAATCTTAATGGATAGCGTAATTTCTTGTAATACTCACATTTTTTTTCATTCCACCTATTTGAATGGACTGTTTGGAAATTGAAAACGTTCGATGATATCATAATGAATCTGTGAACCATTTTTTTATCAGTTAAGATTAGGATAACTATGATTTTAATTGTTTTAATTATACCCTTTAATTGTACCTTTAATTGTATCCTTTAATTGTATCCTTAATTGTATCCTTAATTGTATCCTTTTCTTAGATGAAAAAGAAAAAACTCGTTAATATATATATTCTCTGATGATTAATATGTTATATATGTTAATTGGAAAATGACAATAGATATTTATTTAATACATGCATGTAAATTTGAAACCAAAAAACCAAAAACATATTGATTAATAATCCTCCTAATCCTAATTAGATCTAACCTTAAACTATTCGATAGCATTAACATTTTAACTTATAATTGTTATATTGATCAGTTAAAAATAGCTAAAATAATATAAATAATATAGGCAATATCTTTATTATAATATAAGGTAATAATATATCTGTTAAACCTTCAAAATGAGTAGGACATTTTGATGCGTGTATGCTGTGAGCATTTATAGAAAACTTACATATTTTAAAAGCATATGAGTAACATGAGTAACATCAGTAATATCATGCATGCGATTAATGGATGGTGTACTCAGGGAGTTCTGATTTATAATATTTATAATAAATTATAAATTAGCATTTAATCAATTCGTTGTATATATTATAATTTTATTATAATTTTTTGTATATTTTTGATTAGTTTTTAATTAATTTGATATGACAAATAAGAGATATCACGCGTTTTAACTATACATGTATTGTATATATATATATACATGTATTGTATGTATTGTTCTAAATCATCTAAATCATTTGAATCATCTAAATCATCTGAATCAGTAATTACAGTAATTAAGTAATTATAAGTAATTATCATAAGTTTTTTCTACATCATTATTATAATTATATCTCAAAATTCTATTGTATTAAAACCTTTAAAAAGAATTTTCCATTGAATCATACATAATGTTATTGAATCGAATTAATCGAATTAGGAATTACGTATTTCATTAATTTACTCCAAAATCCTTTTTCAAAGTTTTATAAATAATAAACGCGTAAGATAATAAGAAATGACGCGATCATGAATTGAACAAATTTCATAATTTCCATATAAAATAAGAATATTAACAAAATTTTGTAACTTGCTGCGCCCAACCTTCGCGGGTTATATGAAGGGTTAATTGATAATTAAACAATTGGACAGTTGTAACAGGAATTATTGCTGGATTACCGTAATTAAATATTTTTTTTTTTAACAATATTAAATATTACTGTATTAACGTTAAAAGTCAATTGTTGTAACATACGCAATTTATAAATTTAGTAATATAATGAACTCGGGTCATACAAAAAGAGCATCATTTAATAATGACGAAAATGACGAAAGAAATGAAAAACTTGAAAAAAAAAAAAGTTTTTTTATACAACAAACAAATGACACGTATTAATAAATAACTTTTTTTTGGTTACTACTTACTATTAATTTTATTAACAACTTTTTTTTTAAGAATTTAAAAATTATATATACGTATAAATGTATAATACATACATACATACATATATATAAACGCAATATATTCCTTATTTTTTAATATAACAAAATTATTTTTCTATAAATAGAATTTGAATAAAATTCTTTAACCTCTTAACCGATATTCCGAATATTTTGATATTCCCGATATTATTACCGTAATTATTAGTTTAATTAACAAATACCTAATTGTTAGTTAATCATATATTGAATTATATCAGTGTAATTTGTTTATTTATATTTATTATTTATATACTTTTTTTTAAAAATTTTTTCACATGATATTATAAACAATAGGTGCTTTGACCAGTGCTGTCAAGTTGTCAAGTTGATTTGTTGTACTATATTAGGATGTGTAAATGATGTGAATATGAAATGTGTTTAAATTTGTATAGTGTAAATTATAATGTATATAATGTATATAATGTGTATTATTATGTATACAGTATAATGTTTATATAATGTATATAAAATATAATGGTGTAATTGTGTTTGAAAAAACTTGAAAACCAGTTTATTTTTTCTATGAAAATTTTAGTAACAAAAGTTTTTATAATTTTGTATTCATTTCAACTTTCAAACTATTTCAACTATTTCAACTATTTGTCGTATTTCATTTATAAGCCCGAATATAAGCCCAAATTTAAGCCGTATTTTAAGCCGTTTAAAGACAAAAATCTAATTGCAGGTTTTTACTTTTCCCTATGTTAAAATGTTGTAATGTGTGTAATGTATGTAATATTTTATTATTATAAGAATATAAAGATAGTATGTCCAGTATATGAGATAGTATGCATATGAGATAGCATGTATATTATACACACGTATATAAATTTTTTTCGGTGTAAATAAATAAATCGTGGGAGAAAAAAAAAAAGATGATCTCGGCGAAATGACCAAAAAAGCTAATACAATATTTTCATTGTATCCGATTTAGTTTATCGTTTTTTTTTTAAAAAAAATATTTTTTTTTTTTCAATGTAAAAAAAAACAATGCGCCTTCAAAAGATTAAAGAGTAGATTTTAGGATTGAAGAATCATNTTGTATTTTTCCTTCACTTTCTCTTTTTAATAATAATGATTTCTTAGAAATTTCTTTTTTTAACGGCCATTAGTAATTCCGTTTTTCTAAAATGAATGCATTTCCTATTGTCAATATAATAATTACATATATATATATATTATATATTATGTATCATGTATGCATGTAAAATTTATTGTTTCACAAATAAATAAAATAAATAATAAATTAATAATTATTGGGAACACCAATCAAAAATCCTATTAACTTAAGATCTAAATATTTAGATTTTATAGGTATAATGTGGAGTAAGTTTACTTAGTTTAGGTCAAAGTATTATTTAAAGTAAGCGATCTCTAACCAAACAATATAAAACTTTTTTAACTAAAATAAGCCAATAGATAATAAATATTTTAATTTAATTAATATCTTTATTCATTCAATCAATCTATAAGAAAAAAAAAACGTTACGCGAGAAAAAAAAAACTAGAAAAATATATAAATGGTTAAATAATATGAATAAATAATAATATGAATAATAATAATAATATGATAATTACAACAACAACAACAAAAATGACAAAATTGTCATAACAAAAACAACACGTTTTTGTAAAAGTTTTGTGGGATTAATTTTTTTGAAAAAAAAAAATGAATGTTTCCCAAATAAAACATTGGGCGGGTGTCGGGCGGAAGAATCTATTTCTGTTCAAGTTTTTTTTGTGGCAAAGTTTTTCCAAAATAATAAATTTTTTTTTTTTTTTGGTGGGAGATCACTTTTTCCATTTCCTCAAAAAATGAGGTTTTTTTTTGATTTTTTATCAACTGATATGCAAAAACATCATAAAAAAAATAAATGAATCAAACTTTATCTAAATGACGTAAATTGGACTCATTTAAAGGTTTAGATAAAAAAAAAAAAGATTTAAGGGGAAAATGTACAAACGCCGCAGTTGATATTGACACAGTTGCCACAAGGTTTTTAAACTTGTTTAGAAAAATTTCATTAATGGACTGCGTTCAAAAGAACATGTCGTGTAAAATTGATAGCATTGGATAAACAATAATGTAAGGGCCACTTTATTTTTAATGGCCCATTCTTTCGTATCACCCAAACTGATTATTATTCTGTATATTCTGTATTAGGTAATGAATTTAAATGTTCACAAGTGGCGCAGTCATTAAGTTAAAAAACTTGTTTATATTCCAGTTTTTTATATTCGGGTTATCCAAAACGCATTTATCTTTTTTAACTGATTTTTTACTTTTTGCTTTAAAAAATTTTTTTCGATCCCGTTAAAAGTTATTTCCTGTTCCACATAAAAAAATAAATATTCAAACAAGAGTACGAGATAAATATTAAGGATAAGAAATGAACAAATTACATTTCATTCCGATTTGATTTCATCCCGATCTCTTTTGTAATTTGAAAAAAAATTTTATTTATTTTATTTATTTTTATTTTTATTTTATTTTATTTTTTTGATCTAATTAGAAATTTTTTTTTATTTTTTTTTTTTTTTTTTTTTTTTTTACCATTTTTACCATTTTTGTATTTTTCCTTCACTTTCTCTTTTTAATAATAATGATTTCTTAGAAATTTCTTTTTTTAACGGCCATTAGTAATTCCGTTTTTCTAAAATGAATGCATTTCCTATTGTCAATATAATAATTACATATATATATATATTATATATTATGTATCATGTATGCATGTAAAATTTATTGTTTCACAAATAAATAAAATAAATAATAAATTAATAATTATTGGGAACACCAATCAAAAATCCTATTAACTTAAGATCTAAATATTTAGATTTTATAGGTATAATGTGGAGTAAGTTTACTTAGTTTAGGTCAAAGTATTATTTAAAGTAAGCGATCTCTAACCAAACAATATAAAACTTTTTTAACTAAAATAAGCCAATAGATAATAAATATTTTAATTTAATTAATATCTTTATTCATTCAATCAATCTATAAGAAAAAAAAAACGTTACGCGAGAAAAAAAAAACTAGAAAAATATATAAATGGTTAAATAATATGAATAAATAATAATATGAATAATAATAATAATATGATAATTACAACAACAACAACAAAAATGACAAAATTGTCATAACAAAAACAACACGTTTTTGTAAAAGTTTTGTGGGATTAATTTTTTTGAAAAAAAAAAATGAATGTTTCCCAAATAAAACATTGGGCGGGTGTCGGGCGGAAGAATCTATTTCTGTTCAAGTTTTTTTTGTGGCAAAGTTTTTCCAAAATAATAAATTTTTTTTTTTTTTTGGTGGGAGATCACTTTTTCCATTTCCTCAAAAAATGAGGTTTTTTTTTGATTTTTTATCAACTGATATGCAAAAACATCATAAAAAAAATAAATGAATCAAACTTTATCTAAATGACGTAAATTGGACTCATTTAAAGGTTTAGATAAAAAAAAAAAAGATTTAAGGGGAAAATGTACAAACGCCGCAGTTGATATTGACACAGTTGCCACAAGGTTTTTAAACTTGTTTAGAAAAATTTCATTAATGGACTGCGTTCAAAAGAACATGTCGTGTAAAATTGATAGCATTGGATAAACAATAATGTAAGGGCCACTTTATTTTTAATGGCCCATTCTTTCGTATCACCCAAACTGATTATTATTCTGTATATTCTGTATTAGGTAATGAATTTAAATGTTCACAAGTGGCGCAGTCATTAAGTTAAAAAACTTGTTTATATTCCAGTTTTTTATATTCGGGTTATCCAAAACGCATTTATCTTTTTTAACTGATTTTTTACTTTTTGCTTTAAAAAATTTTTTTCGATCCCGTTAAAAGTTATTTCCTGTTCCACATAAAAAAATAAATATTCAAACAAGAGTACGAGATAAATATTAAGGATAAGAAATGAACAAATTACATTTCATTCCGATTTGATTTCATCCCGATCTCTTTTGTAATTTGAAAAAAAATTTTATTTATTTTATTTATTTTTATTTTTATTTTATTTTATTTTTTTGATCTAATTAGAAATTTT